CGGCTAGCTGTTGATCTCGTTGTTGCTTGAGTTGCCCCCGGAACCACTGGCGCTTGAACGCGAGGCGGTGCAGACGTAAGACGGTGCCCATGTCGTTCCCCGCGATGCTTTCACGCGCGGCGCTGCGATTACGTATGGCTTGAGCCCGTTCGGCTGCGCGGCGCTGGTACTCATTTGGCAGTGCCCTTTCCGCGGCTCTGAACATGTCGGCACCTTCCTTCCGAAGAATGTCAACCAGGTCCTTCCATGCGCCCTCGAAGGAGCCGTGCGCCTGCATCATGTCCTGGATGCCGCTGTAATCCGCTGATTCCATGTGGTTGGCGATGGTATGCTCAAACTTCTCCCTAAAGGGCGTCGCGGTGGTCTCGCTCTTCAGCGCGTCCGCGAGCTTCACGTAGTCCCAGCGTGTCGTGGCTGTCGGTGCCGCGCAGTCAAGGTCCAGGTCTAGTTCCATGCGGAAGGTCATGTGGTCGCGCGGGGCGGAGTCTGGGATCGCCTGCAGCTTGCGGGTCGAGCGGTAGGTCTGGCCGAACTTCCTGATCCGCGAAAAGGATGGTGCTCGGTACGAGGATGTGGTCGATCCAGGAAACGTGCTGTCGGCCCTTCTGGCCAGCCCCGTAGTAGCTCGGCCCCATCGGGAAATACGTGTTGGCGAAGACCATGTCACTGTTCTCGGCGAGCGCTCTCAAAGGGGCTCCTGCGTAAAGCTCCTCCTGGCGTCAGTGTGGTCCCCCATTGGTGGAGTCCGTCATCATGGTGCCTTGGGCTGTGATCGTAATGCCGACGCCATCGTTGAGGTCAGTTCCGATGGTCGGTGTAGTACGTCGTGGTAGTGATGCGAGCGGGGTGCCCGCGAAATCTTCCAGCATGTTTGTGGTGTTCTCGATCCTGGCTTGTTCGCGTCCGTCACGGCTGCGTGGGCAGAAATAGAGGCCGATCGCGGTGATGTCTTAGGTCCTGCTCTTCAGTCTTAATGCGGCATCTCGCCCACGGATGGGTTGAGGTGGCGTCCATATCTTGATGACCTGTTTCGTCCTGACGGTGGCCTTGTTCAGCAGGAGCGTGATGCCGCAGACTTTGTTGCTCAAGGCGCTGCCGCGCTGCCAGCCGAAGTGGATCGCCCTGAAGTGCGGCAGGTCCTCCACAACGTACGCCTGATGCGTGCACCGCTGGGTCCCGACGAGCACGTTGGTGTCGGCCCCGGCGTACTTGTGAGCTATCTCCAAGACTCGGTCGCGGTCCGAGAGACTGAGCGGGTTCCAGTAGATGATCATCATTCGCACGCTGACAACCAGCATGAGGATCCCGCCTGGCCTCTTGGCGGGGCGCGGGAGGCGGGGGGTGGAGGCCCACGGAGGCTCCAGGTCGGGGCGGCCATGGCTCGGCCGCGCGCGGCGCAGCAACGGCCCCGCACCTGGCATAGCCGACGTTGCTGGAGGAGGAGGAGGACGACGAGGAGGAGCAGGAGCAGGAGCAGGAGCAGGAGCAGGAGCAGGACCAGGAGGAGGAGGAGGAGGAGGAGGAGGAGGAGGAGGAGGAGGAGGAGGAGGAGGAGGAGGAGGAGGAGGAGGAGGAGGAGGGAGGAGGAGGAGGTGGGGGGGCAAGCTCCTAGGGGGGCCAGAGACGGCGCGGCGACAGACAGCGCAGTTACCTCGGCGCCCCCAAAAGCCTCACCGCACGGCCCCTCGCGGCACGGCCTGGGGGGACTTCGGAGGCCCCAGTCGCCCGAGGCACCCTCGTGGCGCGAACCGAGTCCACAAAGAAGCGTGCGGCCACCCCGAGGCCAGGCCCCCGACGGTGAGTGCTTGTCATTCGGCGTTTTGACATTGGGCAGAAGGGGGGGGGAGGTGGGGGGGTCTGGCTCCGGACCTCCACCTCTTGCACCAGTTCTGCGAGCACTGCCCGCGGTCAACGCACTCTGGTGCTGCAGTAGGCCTGGGGCGCGGCGCTGCAGTCACCGCAAACCTGTGCTGCAGTGGGCACGGACACCCCCCCGGGGCCTCCCTAGTGAGCCTTTTTTTATTCGGCGTTTCGACATTGGGGGGGGGAGGGGGGGGGCCTTGCTCCGGACCTCTGCTTAAGGCGACTGTTTGCAACATGGAGTCCTATGGGGGAGGGGCTCCACCTGCTCGAAGCAGGCGCCCAAAATAGCCAAGATTCACTCCAGGGGGGGGGAGGGGGGGTCCGAGGGCAATCGCCCATCGGCAAAACAAGGACTAAACAAAACGATCACCAGGCCCACGACGTCGACCCCGAGAGGTCTCGACACATTCGCCAGGACTGCGCTCGACCCTCAAGGGGTCGGGACTTGCGGGAGAGCCCGTGCTGAATCGAACAGAACATCGCATGCCTGGGGAGGGGACGGAAGGCTCGGAAGGCCATTGGCCTTCGCTGCGCAATGTTCGAGGCCTTTTCCGAAGGCAAGGCCAGCTTCTGAGAAGGCAGGGGGGCTTCTGAGAAGTCTGGGTAAGAGCGCCCTTTGGTGCGCGGCTTCCTGGGGGTCGCGGGGGAACCAAACACAAGCGCGCACGACGCTACTAACGCGTCGCGTTAGGCAATCGGGGGACCGCGGTGGGCCCGCATCAAAAGCCACTCCGCCGAAATGCCACTCCTACGTGGGGAAATCAAAAGGTACCAATACCGCTACTCCCTGGATCTCTTCCGAGGTGCGTTCTAACCAGGATGTCGAGGCGAATCCAGCGGTGGCGACGAGGGCCTCCAAGGAGGCCCAAAAAAGGGGGAACGAAGATATATTAACGGTACGGTTACCTTTTTCTCCTCTGAGATCTGAGAAGGCATGCCCCCCCCTCTCTTCCCCCCACAAGCGCGCGCCGCCGACCAACGCCAACGCGCGCGCGCGCGCACCGCAACACACACCCACCGCACCACGCGCCAACGCGCGCGCGCGGGGCGCACGGTCTGGGCGCTGCTTCCTGAGCGGGCGATATTGCGGGCAGCGTCCAAGGCTACGCTCACGGCGATGTTGCTTAACGGCGATGCTGGGGGACCCAAACTCGTAGGAACTCACGAACCACACTTTCCGCCATCTCCAATCTGCAGATGTATCGAGCGAAGACGACACGGCGAAGTGTAGGAAAGCGCGAGCCACGCGATCCTACATCACTGAAACTCACATCGCCATTACCTACATCGCCGCTAGCGTGTCTACGGAGCGTCTCCCGCTTCCTCCTTCAAAATGCGCACATCCCTGTTGACGCTTCGGTCTCATTCGCCGTCTCGTGGCCCTTTGGCCCCCCAAGGCGCCCCTCTAGGGCCCCTAAGGTGTACGAGAAGTGCACCTGTCTTCACTCCAGAATTTGCGGGGAGACGTGGGACTCGGGTTCGGGGGACTCGGGTTGGCCTGACTGAGCCAACATGAACATGACGAGACCCAACCTGAAATTTGACGCGACTTCCCGCTGTAGACATCCCGCGATAAACGCACCGTCAAAATCCAAGACGCGCTCTTTAAAAAAAGCCGGCAAACCCGAGTTCTGGCGTGCTCGAGTCTTACGTTTCCGCGACATTTCAGGACCAGGGCGAGAGTTATGTCATAGTAGGATTGGCTCCAAAATACCTTCCAGGATCTCCAAAGAGAGTATACAGCCGTCCTCGTTCCTGGAACACGTGCGAGACACGAAGAAATACAAGACATCCTGGAACCTTGGAACCTCGGGCGGCCTAGAAACCTCGAAAACATTCCAAATGAGGTCCGAATGCCCAAGATGGCCCCCGAGACGGCCCAAGAGGGCCCCGAGTCGCCCAAAGATCGGCCGAAAACGCCCAAGATAGCCCCAAGACCGTCCAAGAAGCCTCCAAGACGTCCCAGGCCCCCTCCAAGAGACCCCCAGGAAGCCCCAAGAGGCCCCCACGAGGCTTCCAAGCAGCCCCTCAGAGCTTCCCAAGAGGCCCACAAACTAACCCCAAGAGGCCCCCAAGAGCGCTCGTCGTCGTCGTCGTCGTCGCCATTCAGGGTCGGCGGCACCGGCCGTAAGGCCTTCGCAATACAAGACATCCTGGAACCTTGGAACTCTTGTAAAGCATCATTTCATGACATCCTGGAAGTCTAGGAAGCCGTGGAAATCGGGGAAACCTGGGAAATCTGGGAATCTTGGAACGTATCATTGAGACCACCAAACAAACAACACCATCCCACTTACGGCCCCACGGGCTGAGCATATACCATGGATTACGGTACGCCGCCCGATGGGTCGTAGCGTAACATTGTGGGCCGTAGGTGGGAAGGTGTCGTTTGATTTTTGGTGGATCATTCTCATGACCTCGTGTGGAGGCCTCCTAGCTGGGGTCGAAAGATCGCGCCGCATCGTGATAGTAAAGATGCGCGGTCAGGCTGCAAGCCCCTCCGGACGCCTGTGTTGCAGCTTTTTCCAGCGCCGCTGGCCACCAGAAGGGGTTCAAGGATGGACCGAAGAGGCACGGATGCAAAGTTACCCGTGGTCGGGGAGACATAAGGCTCGGGTTCGGGGGACTCGGGTTGGCCTGACGGAGCCAATATGAACATGACGAGACCCAACCTGAAATTCAACGCGAGCTCCAGCTGCAGACATCCTACGACAATCGCACCGTCCGAGTCCAGGACACGCTCGTCAAAAAGCGTCGGCAAACCCGAATTCTGGCGCGCTCGAATCTCACGTTTCCCCAACTTGGGAAGGTCACCCGTGCTTACCACCGTTTTCGACTACATCGTCTCCTCATTCGGGGATCTTCTGACCCGGGTCAATCCAGTCCTGGGTCAGTCACGCCTTGCAGAATCCTGCAAGATGCTGCACCCTAAACCCGGGTCAATGCGAAGGATCCCGCCAGACCCTGCAGGATCCTACACCCAAGCCCCGGACAATGCGACCCTGGCAATGCAGGGTCCTGCGAGATCCGGCGCTCTGACTGACCTCCGTTTGCGTTGAGCCCCGTCTCTCAGAGCCCCGACTCATGACGCATCTCCCGAGCGGTAGCCGACCCCGCTCTGCCGGCCGCAACGGCGCCTGCCCCTGCCGGCACGGCCGCGGCGGCGCCGGCGCTCGCGGCGGGCGCGCCGGCCTTCTTCGGGGCGAGGACGCGGCGCTGGGGGGCCGTCTGCCGCCGGGGGGCGGGGGGGAACCAGGCTCGACTTCATCCCTACCCCTAAGATCGGCAGGCCCAGGTCGATGACAATCTGAGGGACGTGGCCTATGAAACTGAGGTCCTGCAGATCGGCACCGAGGTTCAGAATCCTGCAGATCGGCACCGAGGTAAGGTGATGCATACCTAAGGGATGGGGACCTGCTCCTAGACCCCCGACGGCGTGTTGGTTATTCACCAAGTCGGCCGTCAGAGGTCTGGCCCCTTCCCTGGGACGGGCTCTTCATCATGCGTCGTCTCTTGACGGTCCCGAGGCCCGGCGAGGGCCTCCAGAGGCCGCGGAAGGCGAAAAACCTCCCGTCGTGGTGCTTCCACAGCGCGAGGGGGTTGGGTTTCAAGCTGGCAAGAGGGCGCGGGCGGGCGCGTTTGCGCCGCCGTTGTTGAGGAGGAGGAGAAGGAGGAGGAGGAGGAGGAGGAGGAGGAGGAGGAGGAGGAGGAGGAGGAGAAGGCCTCCTCCCTCCCTCTCCTCCCGCAAGCCTTCCTCCCCCCCTCCCCCCCCTCCGTCCGCTCGCGCGCGGGGAGGAAGGGGAGGAGGAAAGCAATGGATGGCCTCCTAGATGGGGTCCTCCTAGCTGGGGTCGAAAGATCGCGCCGCATCGTGATAGTAAGGATGCGCGGTAAGGCTGCAAGCCCCTCGGACGCCTGTGTTGCAGCTTTTTCAAGCGCCGCTGGCCACCGAAAGGGGTCAAGGATGGACCGAAGAGGCACGGATGCAAAAATACCCTTGGTCGGGAAGACGTAAGGCTCGGGTTCGGGTGACTCGGGTTGGCCTGACGGGGCCAATATGAACATGACGAGACCCAACCTGAAATTCAACGCGAGCTCCAAATGCAGACATCCTACGACAACCGCACCGTCCAAATCCAGGACGCGCTCGTCAAAAAGCGTCGGCAAACCCGAATTCTGGTGCACTCGAATCTTACGCCTCCGCGAGACAGGGTAGGATAGCAAAGGGTAGGGTAGATAATCAGCTCCCGTAGCTGGTTTTCCTGGCGACTCCTGGCGCTGGAAGGCGCCCATGTATCGAGGAATGGTCCCGGCGGCGGGCCCGAAACCAGCTACATGCAACAGATTTCGTAACCACCCCGTTCCCTATCCTACCCTTTGTCCAGCCCGATTGTAGGAAGGTGGAGGCACGACTCAGGCCGTCTGCATTGCCAACCCCGCCGGGGTGGGGGGGTCCCGGGGGGGGGTCGCCACCCAGATACGCATCCCCCGTTTGCGGCTTTTACAGAGGGGCCCTCTGTAGACCTGCAAGAGCGCCCCAAGACGGCCCAAGCCCCACAAGACAGCCCAAGAACGCCTAAGGACGGCCAAAGGGGGCCCTCAGACGGGTCAAAAGAGCCCTACAAGGACTCTCAAGAAGGCCCGGAGACGCCATACTCATTGATTTTCGGAGAGGTTTTGTCCCCGCCCTATCCCTCCCAATTCCGTCGAGAGCCGAGGCCTCCAGAATTGGTTGCTCATACTCGCTTCCTCTCGCTCCTCCTCCTCCTCCTCCTCCTCCTCCTCCTCCTCCTCCTCCTCCTCCTCCTCCTCCTCCTCCTCCTCCTCCTCCCTCCTCCTCCTCCTCCTCCTCCTCCTTCTCCTGCTCCGCCTCCTCATCCTTCCCCCCCCCTCCTCCTCCCTCATCCGCCTCTCCACCCTTCCTCTTCCCGCCCCCACTCCTCCTCCTCCTCCTCCTCCCCTCCTCCGCCTCCTCCTCCTCCTCCGCTTGCTCCTCCTCCTCCTCCTCCTCCTCCTCCTCCGCCTCCTACCCCCCCCTGCTCGTTTTCATCTTCGTCGTCTTCAGGGTCGGCGGCACCGGCCGTTAGGGCTTCGCAATATCAGATCACGTCATCATGTACAAGTCAGCACTATGGGTGCCAATCCGCCGATCGGCGCGTGTGAGAAGCAGGCTGGAGGCCGTGTGCCAGCAACCCTCCATGGGCGCGGGGGAGGACTCCCGCACGCCGCTCTCTCTCTCTCTCTCTTTTTTTTTTTTCTCTCTCTCTCTCTCTCTTTTGTTTGTTTGTTCTCTCTTTTTTTTTCTCTCTCTCTCTCTCTCTCTCTCTCTTGGCGGCACAGGGGCCGAATCAACCTCAAAGGTGAAGCTACCAAGAGTGTGAAAGTGAATTCAAAGGCGGTCCTGACAACAACCGCTATGATGGCAATCTACGAAGAGGACACGGCACTAGGAGCTGACGTCCAAGAGCAACTGACCAGCCTTGAAGCGGATACTCAATATTCCTGGGCGGAGTGTCGTCGAAGCTGGAGTCTAGGAGTTCCTGAAAGTGTAATTGCGACACACCGTGTGAGCCTCTGTTTAGGTGCTTGCGGCATCCTGGCCAGCCAACAGGCCTTCAAGATCCGATGCCACAACCATCAACGTCCTCGTCGGCGAGCGGGCGACCCTGTTCCCAGCCGCACGGCGGCAACATCTGCGATGTAGGACAGCGTGCGTCTCCCCGCTCAGGAGAAGGAGGTGGGTAATCGCCCAAAACTGGTGCGCAATCGACGTCGAACCGACAAATCCTGTTTCCGGGCAAGGAAGGTCTTTCGTAATAGGGTCACAAAGGAAAGTTCGCCTAAAATCTCTGGTAACTACCTAACAATATTTCTAGTTCGCACGCGCGGGGCGGCCCCTGGGGGGCCCTGGGCGAAAAGTACCCTGGCAAGGTCCCGGGACACTCCCGGCAAACTCAGGTCAGAGATGGTTTTCCTCCTGGGTGCGGCCTTCCACGCTCCCCAGAGCGCTCCAAGAGGGCCCCAACAAGAATCCAAGACGGTCCAACAGGGTTCCGAATCACCGAACGATCGGCCCAAGACGCCCAACACGGCCCAAGACGGCCCAAGAGAGCCCGACCCTTCAAGAGAGCCCCAAGAGGCCAAAATCATTGATTTCCTTTGGGTTTTGCAAGGTTTTTGGCTTCCTCGCCTTTTCGCGTTTCCGACGCTCCAAGACGGCCCAAGAAGCCTCCAAGACCACCCCAAGACGGCCCAAGAGGCCTCCAAGAGAGCCCCAAGACCGCCCAAGAGGGCCCCGCGACAGCCCAAGAGGCGCCCAAGACGGTCCAAGAGGACCCCAAAAGGGGCCCAAGAGGGGCCCAACATGGAGACAAAAAGCCTCCAGGACCACCCCAAGACGGCCCAAGAAACCTCCAAGAGAGCCCCGAGACCGCCCAAGAGGGCCCCACGACAGCCGTGCACCAATACGGGCCGGCGGAATGAGCGAAGCGATTAAATAACAGTTCATCCCCTGGAGCATGGCGCGTGGCAGCCAAGTGCTGATATCATTGCACGACGTGTGCATCCCGATGGCATGAACTATGGCGTGCACGTTTGCGACCCCTCCCTGCAGAGGACCAACTCCAGCCCGAACCCGAAGATGCCAGAGTGCTAATGATGGGCCCGTTTTTTACCACCACCACCACCACCATAACTTGGAGGGAGAGGGGGTTCTCCTCCTCCTCCGAAGCCAACCCAAAGCCCGCCAGCCCGGCAGCCCGAATCCATCCCGAAGACCGCCAGCCCGGCAGCCCTCCTCCTCCTCCTCCTCCTCCTCCTCCTCCTCCTCCTCCTCCTCCGATAGCACCGCCAGCCCGAAGCCATCGCGGAGCTCCAGCCGCCCGGCGCCCGAGGCACGCGGGCACCCGACGGCGCGAAAAGCCTCGGCTACTCTCCTCTGCTCCCTCTCCCTTCTCGCCTCGCTCCTCCCTCTCCCGGAACTCTCGGCCCCACCGCTCTGGGCCGGCCTCTCGTCGCGGGCCGGTCTGTGATGGCTAGGAGGAGGAAGAGGAGGAGGAGGGGGAGGATTACGCTGTAAGGATTACGCAATGTGGCCGTCCACGCGGCACAGCTCGCAGCTCGGCATCGCAGCACCAAGGGGAAAGTCGAGACCAACACCAAGACCCTGGTGCCGAGAGAGCCGTCTTCGAATTTATCCAGCGTGCTCCGGAAACGCTCTGCCGGAGCACGCTGGCACAAGTGGCTCGGCAACACGCCGGCGTTAAGACTGTTAAACAGATTCCAGGCATTCCGGGGGTTCAAGAGGTCGCGGAACCGGCTTCAATTATCAGGCGCATCTCACGCCAAATCTGGCAGGCACGGATCGTCCTCGTCCGCGCCGCCGAAACGCCACTCTGCTGCCTCGTCCTCTGGGTCGAGGGGCCTTGCCACACGCTGAGAGGAGTCGCCAGGAATCACCGTGGGAGCGCGGTCCTGAGCTCTCGACACAGCCGCAGCCGATGGGGCAGGTCCTCGGGCCCCAGGGTCCCTCGCCACAGTCGCTTTGGCCACCTCTTCAGCGCAAACGCGCGCATGCAACGCCTCGATGACCGATTTAGGAGGGCCCTCGCGGCGTGGGTACTGGTCTCGCCTGATGCGAGCTAAATTCTCGGCTCCTTTCCGTGATCTTCCAAAGCATCTGGCCTCGAGATGTCTGAAATCTTCCGTCGCAGACCTACCGCATTCGTGGCAGAACACCATGCAATACTTGGGCCACTCTCCAAGTCTGTGAGTGCTGTGCAGCTCCCTCCCGCCCAGGCCCCTTAAAACACCCTCGCCCACAGCCCTGGGGGCCCTGTTCAGGACGGGGGGGGTGGGACAGGCGGGGCTGGCGGAGGCACGCACGCAGTGCTGCAGAACTCCAGCAGGCTCGAGGCATGCACTCGCTGGTTGCACACCTCGCATCTCCATTTAGCGCCGTCCTGGGCCATCTGGTGGACCGTTTCGCGGTCAGCTATCTTCACGCCGCTCTCGCGGGCCCCACGAGGCGCGATATCTTCGCGCTCGGCCCGGGTCGTGTCGCAGTCCTGGGCAAGTTGTAAGGCCTTGGACGCTCGACGTCTGACAAGAGCGGCAACAGCATCCCAACTGTCAGCGTGGGGAGCAGCATGCATGACGAATCCCTCCCAAGCCCGATCCGCCGCCCCCCCCGCCCCACGGTCGGCCGTGGCATTGCCCACAGCAAGGAA